AACCCACGTTACATAGGTCCATTCAAAATCATTGAAAGGATTAGCGTCATAGCATACCGACTTCAGTTAACTCTAGAGTTAAAAAAGATTCATAATGTATTTCATGTTTCCATGCTCAAGAAGTATGTACTGGATTCGTTGCATATTCTTGAGAAACCGTCGGTAGAAATATGAGAAGACCTACACTATGCGGTGCAACCTGTAAAGATCATAGACCGGTAGGTGAAGAAGCTAAAAAGCAAAGAAGTACCAATGGTAAAGGTACTTTGGAAAAGTGATCGCGTCGAGGAGAAAACTTGGGAAGTGGAGACCCTGATGAGGGAACATTACTCATTTCTGTTTGAGTAGACACGTGAATTTCGGGGACGAAATCCCAAATAAGGGGGGTAGAACTCTTAACACCGCCCCCAAGTATGTTTACTTTTATTAAGTTATGTATTGAACCTTGAGAAATGAATAACGAATTTTACGTGGTTGTAAATTTTTGTCATTTCTTTTTATGTGTATGGTAAGATTCATGGGGGACCCACATCGGGAGCGGGGGTCACCTGATATTCTCAGGACCACATATTCTATTCATCTGGGTCTAGATAATCACTACTAGAAAAAATATTATTTGCTGCGGTCATTTTAGCCTATTTGATGCGGTTCTGAACCGCAGCAATTGGCAGCGCAGCAAATAGTAGGGATAGGTATTTGCTGCGGTTCGGAACCGCAGCAAATAGAGAATTTAAAAAAATGAAAATTTGACTTATTGCTGCGGTTAACGACCGCAGCAAATAGCATGTTAAAAAAAATTCAAGATTTCTTATTTGCTGCGGCCTGCGGTTGACGACCGCAGCAAATATTATTTTTTTTTTCAAAAGTTTTTTGTTTATACTACTCAAATGTACAAAATTTTATATTTTGCATAAAAGTAAAACTTGATTACAAAACAACTTCACATTTATCAAAACAAATCAAATTCATAATTTCAAAAGAATTAAGTCATGCACCACAAAATTAATACACAATGAGTACAATACAAAACACGGTTTTATCACGACTGTATAATTTACAACAAATTATCGCAAATGTATATAGTAACGGCAACACGAACTTCAGCTATGTCATCACTTGACAAAGGCCCATCTACTTTGATGCTCTCATAAACCTAAAATATTAAACTTTTACAATTACGCCATGTGTATAAATGTATAACTAACATAGGAAAAGATATTAAAATGGCTACAAATTAAAATTAGTAATGATATTTACTTGCTCCATATCTTGTCCACTCGTGAAATATTTAACGGCATCGTATATGAATTTCATCACGTAGAATCCACACTCCAAACCTCCTGTTTGTTCCGCACACCAATACATATACATATTACATTTTTATACACATTAGCACTAATTCACATATATAGAGAAACATAGTTATACACTTATTGAAAAAAATATGAACGCACCTTCATTTGTTTACAGATCACTTTCTTTATGCTTTCATCGTCATTGAACATGTTTCTAAACACACTTTAGTTTAAAAAAATATGATAAGAAAAAATAATACAAGATAATTTAATAGTAATAATCTTTAAATAATTCAAAAAATACGGCTGCAACTACTCCTTATAATGTTTTGAAATTAACACAAATTCCACCAGTAATTGAACCTGTATAGTTTAAGACCTTTTCCCAGGTCTCTTAAAATTTCGTATGCTGCCAACTCGGCCAGGACGTTAATTGTACCCAATGTGTTCATCATAATGCCTAAAAGGGGATTGTTTACACTACTACATTTTACAGATTTGAAAACTAATTGTGAATGTCACACAAAAATATAGGGAATGTTAAACAACACATGTAAATACTAATTGACTAGAATACTACATCATTGCACATTGCATGATTCCACCGCCAACAAAAATAAGCAGTTTCCTAATTTCAAAACTATGATATCAGTTATTACATAGGGAAATTATAATCATACATCCGTTTGATTATTTTGAGTACAAATCCCAACACATAGCATTTATCATTCACAACTTTCTTTATTGCCTCCGTCGGACACTAAGATTGGTTCTACCGGTCATCTCATTTGAAGAGGGAGAGTCGGTTTAATGCAATTAAATTGCCTCCCAATAGCTCAATAATTTCCAGGGAACAACCGAAAGTGGGCATTGACACCAAAGGATTGCTAACACAATTCTTGTCTGCTATAATTTTCAGTAAAATTGTAAAAATCTTACCTCAATATCTACTAGCTACCCAACATCTTTTAGGCCTCTTCATTTTTCATGCCTGCGGTTACTTCACTGGGTAAACGAGTGTGCTTAAAGCCAAAGAAATGAAAGAAGAGAAAATGAAGATGGTGGCATGAGGGTTGACCAAGAAACGGACCAAGGAAGAAGCACTTAAGATGAAGATAGAGGCATGCCGGTTGACCAAAGTACGAACCAAAAAAGAAGAAAAAGAAAAGAAAATGGAAACACGGAATGTAAAGCAATGGAAAATTGTACAAGTCCTTGACCTGTGTTAAATGAACCACATTAATGGATAATGCATAATATATCCACATGAGAATATCAAAGCACTAGTTATCATAGAACTTATATGCTTTACCTGTTCAGTGGTCAATTTACAACAAAACTTTGTCTAGTGTAATAGTCCTTCTTTATTACTCTTAAACTTCTCCTCAGCCAATGGATCTCAATCCTACAGAACAGTAAATCTAACCTGAGTATATACCAGGGTAGCAATAACACACGTGCACATCAAATATTATTCAGCATTTGAAAAATAATCATAGTCTATGAAAGTATAAAATCCGTATACTCTACCATTGTGAGACCAAAATCAACTTTATGTAATGCAACGCAAGGCTTTACATTGAATTCAATTAATCTAAGTAGTGTAATAATAGATTTTACTAAACTGGAATTTGTTTATTACTGATATGCTTGCAGGCAACGAGTTAAAAGAAAAAGTATAGTTAATTTACAAAAAGAACAATAAATCAATGTATTCATTGAATACACAATATGGACTACACGAAATATCAAAAAATTAAGTTAATAACAATTAACCTTAAAAAGATAACATTGAATGGTAGAGAAGATGACGTTGGCGAGTGAACCGGTGACGTGCTGAGGCGGCGGCGACGAGGAGCTCGGCAGCGAGCTACAGCGGCCGACAAGGGAGATCTTGGACTGCGGGACAGTTAAGCTTTGTGCAGCGGCTTCGTCGAGGACCTCCGGCGGTTCCTCGAGGAGCCACGGAGGCGGCTCTGCTCTACAGATGAAGGCTGGGTGAGGAGCGGCTTTGCACTACGGATGAAGGGAGGGGGGCTGGGGTTTTGGGCGCTTCTAGGTCTTGCGATTGAAGAGAATTGCGATTGAAAAGAATTGGATTTTAATAGGTTATTTCACTTATTTGATGCGGTTTGGTCAACGACCGCAGCAAAGAAGGGAGATTTTTGGTTATTTGCTGCGCCACTATCAATGACCGCAGCAATTAGGTGCAATTTCTTTATTATTTGCTGCGGTTATCACTTGACCGCAGCAAAAAACCGAAATTTTCTAAGTATTTGCTGCGGTCGTGCCATAACCGCAGCAAATAGATATACATTTTGAGTATTTGCTGCGGTTTTAGTAAGAACCGCAGCAATTGGGTAGCAGCAAATAAGGAAAATTCTAGTAGTGAATATTTATATGATGGTGGATATCCATGTTGGGCTATAAAAACTATGTAAGATGGCAAGTTGTGCATATAAGGCCCATTTATCGATACCGGCGTACTGACAGACAAAAACCATAATAGATTATGGAGACCACTAGATTAAAACTTTGGGGAATATATATTCATTCTAATAGCCAATAATATTTGGAAGAATGATAAATATTTCATTTGGCCCGATAGAACGAAATTTAATTAAACAGTTCGGAAAATACAACTTTCGGGACCAAATGTACACTCGGGGACACAATGGGATGACCACCCATTTAAGTGGGGGACACCCCACGACTTTTTTCTTGCAAATAGCAAGGGGAGATGCACCTTTGGGATGCTGAAAGGTGTTGAGGACTTGGAGACAAAGAGCGAAAGCAAAGGGGACCCGACCCTCCCCCATATTATTGGTGAATAAGCCAAAAAGGGGCATTCCCAATCACTCCAGCTCATACTACTCGTCCACTCCATCATCCTTGGGGAGAGAAGGTCTGCAAATCACCATTTTCACCATCATTCACGCTCAAAGCAAGGGGATGAAGAAGAAAGGAAAAAAAAGAAGAGAAAAGAGGAGTTTAGGTGGGAAAACTTGTGGTTAAGAAGGTAATGACTCCATTAATCCCATTTCTTCTCTTTAATCATATTTCATACCCCTAGAATTGGTCTACACATTTAAAAGTGTAGAATGGGGGGGGGGGGGGTTGAAAGGTAGTTCTAATTCCAAGAACGAACTTAGAATCCAAAGTAACCGGTTCACCAAAAAATAACCTTTTAGAGGTTATTTTTGTTGATATGGGTTTTATGATAATAAAACCTTGTTATTAACTTGTCTAAGGTATTCCTAGGACTTTCACGGAGTTGAAAGAGTCGCCAGAATTATCGTCGGAGCTCACAGAAGTTCGTCGGAGTTTCGCCGGAGCTCAATTAGGAAGGCTAGAAATTCATAAGCTTCATTAAGGTGAGAAGATGGCTATATGTCTTATTGTGACACCTCGAAAAATTTAATAAAATAAAATAAACAAATTTTATTAGTCAAATAAAATGTTACGAAAGTGATTTTTAATAATTAAGTGAATCAGATAAAAAATTTAACATCTGTGACATTTTTAATCAGATGAAAATGTTTCAATAATAAAATTGACATTTTAATTTAAGGAGATGAGTAAATAAAATGTGTACAAGAATACCCTACAAAAATAACACTTATGAAAGAGTTGACTTTAAAGCCTAATTATATACGGAGTACTCCGCATATGCTTAAAATGACTTTTTTTTTTTTTTTTTTTTTTTTTTTTTTTTTAACCCGGAAGGCAAACCACCAAAATCAGTGGGGCAAATGCCGGGGAACATTTGCCGGTGTTTTATTAATATTCAAAGAGGAACAAAAAGGGAGGGGGACTAGACCAAAACCTCCCTTCAGGGGCATACCCCTGAAAAATACAAAGAAAGAAACAACAACCAGAAAAAACCTCAGAAGAAAGAAAACAAATATTTTGGGGGGGCTAGACCTGACCCAAAATAACAGTACAGAAAAAGATAAATAAAAAGAGCTAAAATCTAAATGAAGAGATAGCAATAATGTAGAGACAGTACCTTAATAGCACTAATATACTTCGTACTCAATAATACATAGCATACAATGAACATGGCATGCGAATTATTCACATACCATCAACCTAGCAACTACCACGGCATATGGGTATGTCCAAATTAATTGAATGATGCCAAAACCCATCCCACCATATTTAAGTGTTAGCCCATAATATTTCACTCAATATTATACTACGTACTACATATTTATATATCTCCTTTGCAATGACCAACGTATCCATGGCGAGCAAGAAGAAAGAAAATAACAGAAAAGTCATAGTTACCACCTCTAGTCGCCAGAAGGAAGGAAGAACAGCGGAGTATTAATTAACACGGATACCGATGTCGGAACGCAGAGGGGACACCAAAGAAACCGGAGCTCGCCGGGCTGGTTCGCCACGCCGGAGTAGAAGTGTCCGCCGGGGTGACTGCGGAGCTACGGGTCGAACCTCCACTAGATCACCATGAAAACGATGCTCGCCAGGAGTTGCTGCAAATATCAACCGTCCATACTCCTGGTTCCAATGAAGGAGCAGACGGTCCCTGCATTGTCACGCCCCGGACCTATCCGGACACGTCAACAACCCGCCGTACAATATGAATAGTCAACCGCAGTCCAACACATTCATAATATACAAGGCGTCTTGAATATCATTCACACATACACATCCATAAACAAACATAATAAGTAATTCGTAACGCAGCGGAAAACATTGTTTAAAACGAAAGGGCCACACAAGGCTATTCATGAGCACGCAGGCTCTACAGTAAAATATCCATGAGCATGTTTATTAATGTTTAAAAACAGAATGGAGGAAGCACGAACCAAGTCTTCCCTCCTATATGATCTCTCGAGCAACGAGCACAGGAAGCAAGCTCTAGCCTCAACCTGAAAAATGGTGGTGGGACGCCCCCGAAGGGGTCAGCACTCTATAGGGCTATAAAGTGCTGGTGTGGCAGGCATCTAATAGATATACAACAAGTATTTCACACACAAGACCCTCAAATAGGGTGATAATATAGTATAGGCCGTAATCCCAGATTACCCCTTTCAAAATACATACTTACTTTATATAAAGTCAAGTAATCGGCTCAAAGGCCCGTGTTTGTTATAAAACATTTCCCAAACCCCGTGACTAATAGTCACGACAATACATAGGGTCCAACCCTAATATAACTTCTCATTTCTAGAGTTAGGCTCGAGTACATCATCATGCACTCGCATCATAGATCTCCTACTTCATATAATCATACCATAGATCTCCTACTTCATGTATTCACCCCATAGATCTCCTACTTCATACAATCACACCATAGATCTCCTACTTCATACAATCACACCATAGATCTCCTACTCCATGATATCACACTTGACACTTGAATCTCATTCAAGTTCATCACAAACAACTCAAACCTTAAGTTTGATTCTATCAACATTTAGAACAATCCTTAACTAGCATCACAATACTATTAAGATTATTCCTACAACTCATTTATTCTTAATGGTAGCCCCTCCATATCAATAGATATGTGGCAGCCTCCCATGTGCTAAGCATCATCATGTAACTATACATTTACATACACATAACATTCATACATGAGTTGGAAAGGTCATTTTACCATATTAACATACCTTTATCTCACATAACTCCATATTCATCAATATGGTTTCAATTCATGATCAAGTCCATTACTTATCATTCATATCATGTTCAAGCATATTTATTCACAAAAACATGGTTTAAGCATTTAGGTAATCTCATGCATAACCTACAAGTTGTAAGCAACTAGATGTCGGTCCTCACCTCAAATGAGCTTTAAAACCTTCCTTCTCGATCCAATGACCAAAGCCTCGGCCAAGGAAGATTGAGAACTGGTTCCTTGCTTGAAAATGGGTGTTAAACAGCTTCCTCAAGTTGCTATTTCAACCCCTAATCGTTGATACGAAAACAGCCCCTAGAACGGGTGTTTTCCGGCTAACTCGATTCCTAGTTTTCCAATATTTGCTTTAGGTTAGTATCTAACCTTTACATCAATAAAATAACTTTTTAAGGACATATTATACACTTGGATTAGTGTACAATAGTCCCACCAATCGTTCATATCATTTCGAAAATGAATGGAAAGGATTTGGGGTTAACAACTCACTTTAGAAGAGTAAATCCGTTTCTGCGAGGTTGTGTTTTTCTCGGACGATTTGGAAGCCTTCCTCTACTCCGATTGATGCAAACCAGACCTTCACGGATTCCTCGTCTTGAGAGCTTTCGTTTGGTATCTCACACGCCTTAATTGGATTGGTAAAACTCGAGATATCAACCAAACAGTCTCAGCACTCTCACAGCTCGAATTCACAGACCACTGCTCGCTTCAGATCGATTTTTGGATGATTACTCACTCCTCTCGAACAGAGACCACTCAATTATGAAAATAGACTTCAAAGGCTATCCAAGGACACCTTATACACCTCATTTGGACGAGTACAACTCTCATAATGAAGGGAGACAAAACAGCACACCTGTTTGTGCGAAAACAGTGGTGGTGGCCCCAAAATTTGATTCCAATTGTGTCATGGGCAGTGCTTCTCCATGTGGTGCGGCCAAGGTGAGTCTTCTCACATATTTTCCTTGTCTTGCAGGTACTAATATCATGTGGAGTGGTTCTCAATTGATCCCATTAAATTTGGGGTCCAAAATATCTACCAATACTTCCAAAAATGGGAAGATGGGTCCTATTGTTTTATCTTTGTCAAAATGTCTTTTTGTACTCATCCTAATTTACTTAGAACAAGTCAACTTCCTAAATCACATTATTGATCTCCAATATGTGTAGGCTCGTCCCAATAATTTACTTGATGAATATTATAGAAGGAAAATCCTACTCCCATTATTTAGCTCAATAAGGCCCAAGGTGGGGTTATAGGCATTTGTATTCTTCCTTAATCATTCAATCACTTATTTGACATTTGTCATACGTATTATTGGGCTCTTTTATTTATTAATAAGTCCCGAATAAGTATTTGCGAAACCCGACACTAGTGTACGAGTTTGAACAGTACGATATTCAACCATGCACTACGTAGAACATTAATCGTTTTACAAATTGTTCGGGAATAAAAATCCAATACATAAACTTTGAATATCTAAATCAAATCTCCAAGGACATTCGGGTGCGGTGTCACAAGTTCACCCTCCCTTAACAGGAATTTCGTCCCCGAAATTCACAGCTCTACTCGAATAGGAAAGCATACTGCTTCCTCATCAAAGCTTCTGTTTCCCATGTTTCTTCCTCGACCCGATCGCTCTTCCACAGGACTTTAACCATTGGGACTTCCTTGCTCCTCAGTTTCTTCACCTTTCTATCGGTGACCTTGATAGGTTGAACAGCGTAGTTCAAATCCTCACGTACCTCTACAGGTGGCTTCTCCAATACGTGAGAGGGATCATGCACATACTTCTTAAGCATGGATACATGAAACACATTATGTATCTTCTCTAACTCAGGAGTCAATTGTAGACGATATGCCACGGCCCCAATCCTTTCTATAATTCTGAATGGACCTATGTACCGTGGGTAAAGCTTCCCTCGGGTTTGAAATCGAATGATTCCTTTCCAAGGAGAAACTTTCAAGAACACCTTGTCATCAACCTTAAACTCTAAGGTTCTTCGACGCTTATCTGCATAACTCTTTTGCCTATCCTGAGCCGCTTTGAGTCTCTCTCGAATCAATTTCACCTTTGATTTGGTGACCTCAACCAACTCAGTACCCTCGAGTTTGGCCATGCCAACCTCGTCCCAGCATAACGGTGTACGACACCTCCTCCCATACAATGCCTCGTATGGAGGCATGCCGATGCTGGCCTGATAACTGTTGTTATAGGCAAACTCCACAAGTGCTAAGTGGTTGTCCCAACTTCCTTGGAACTCCAATGCACAAGCCCTCAGCATGTCTTCCAAGATCTGTATGACTCTTTCAGACTGTCCATCCGTCTGTGGGTGGAAAGCAGTACTGAACTTCAACCTCGTTCCCATAGACTCCTGAAATTTCGGCCAAAAACGTGATGTGAATCGTGGGTCTCTATCGGATACAATGGTCACTGGGACCCCATGCAGCCTCACGATCTCATCCGTATACAATTTGGCTAACCTCTCAAGTGGGTAGGTAGTGTTGATAGGCAAGAAGTGTGCACTCTTTGTGAGCCTATCCACAACGACCCAAACTGCATCATAGTTCCTGATTGTCCGTGGTAAACCTACCACGAAATCCATAGTCACGTGTTCCCACTTCCATTCAGGAATGGAAAGTGGCTGCAATAAGCCTGCTGGATGCTGATGTTCTGCCTTAACTTGTTGACAAGTAAGGCATCGACTGATGTACTCGGCTATTTCCCTCTTCATTCCAGACCACCAGTAACTTTCTTTCAAATCACGGTACATTTTCGTGCCCCCCGGGTGCATGGCATAAGCCGATGAATGAGCCTCCTCTAAGATGGACTTTTGGAGCTCATCATCTGACGGCACACACACTCGGTCACGAAATAACAAGAGACCATCATCTCTTGCCCTGAAATCCTCCACCGGTCCAGCTTGCATGCGTTCCCGGACCTTCATAAGTTCTGCGTCAGTCTCTTGACCCTTCTTGATCTCATCAAGTAAAGTAGGTCTTACCTCAAATCGTGCCAATAAGGCACCATCGCTGGATACCTCCAGTTGGGCTCTTAATGCCCTCAAATTAGCTAGCAATGCCCCAGACGAGCTCTTCCGGCTCAAAGCATCTGCCACCACGTTTGCCTTGCCTGGGTGATATTCTATCACTAGATGGTAGTCTTTTATCAACTCCATCCACCGTCTCTGTCTCATGTTTAGCTCCTTTTGAGTAAACACGTATTTCAAGCTCTTGTGATCAGTGTATATGTGACATGTCTCCCCGTAGAGATAATGTCTCCATATCTTCAGTGCAAACACCACAGCCCCCAGCTCCAAGTCGTGAGTAGGATAATTCACCTCATGCTTCTTCAACTGTCGTGAAGCATAGGCGATTACCCTCCCATTCTGCATCAGCACGCATCCAAGCCCTTGGATGCTCGCATCGCTATAGACATCGTACCCCACACCCTGTTTGGGTAATGCAAGTACCGGTGCCTCGGTCAATCGCTTCTTTAGTTCCATGAACCCCTCCTCACATTTGTCATCCCATACAAACTTAGCTCCTTTACGAGTGAGCTTCGTCAATGGTGATGCCAAAACAGAGAACTTCTCCACGAACTTTCTATAGTAGCCTGCGAGTCCAAGGAAACTACGAATTTCCTTGACGTTCTTTGGTCTCTCCCATCCGGTAATGGCTTCTATCTTCTTATTATCAACAGCAATTCCCGATCCTGAAACCACGTGCCCGAGGAAGCCAATTTCCTTTAGCCAAAATTCACATTTAGAGAATTTGGCATAAAGTTGCTTCTCCCGTAGTGTCTCAAGAACGAGTATCAAGTGTTCTTCATGCTCTTCCTCACTCTTTGAGTAAATCAAAATGTCATCTATGAACGCAATCACGAATCGATCCAAGTATTTATGGAATACTCGGTTCATCAAGTCCATGAATGCCGCCGGGGCGTTTGTTAACCCAAACGACATAACAAGGAACTCAAAATGCCCATACCTTGTGCGGAAAGCACTTTTTGGTATGTCGTCTTCCTTAATCTTCAATTGATGGTAACCCGACCTCAAATCAATCTTTGAAAACACGGTTGCCCTTCGTAGTTGATCAAACAAGTCATCAATTCTAGGCAAAGGATACCTATTCTTGATTGTGACCTTGTTCAGTTGACGATAGTCAATACACATTCGAAGTGTCCCATCTTTCTTTTTCACAAAAGAACTGGTGCTCCCCACGGGGAGTGGCTTGGCCTAATGAAACCATTATCCAAAAGCTCTTGCAATTGGGTTTTCAACTCGTTAAGTTCAGCGGGTGCCATACGGTATGGCGGTATGGAGATTGGTTTGGTGCCGGGCTCGACCTCGATCACGAACTCAATCTCCCTATCGGGTGGAAGTCCCGGTAAGTCTTTAGGAAAGACGTCCCGATACTTGCATACTACCCTAACATCATCAATGCTCGTCTCTTCTTTGGTTTTGTCCACCACATACGCTAGATATGCGTGACATCCCTTCCTCATCATATTCTTAGCCCTCACAGCGGATATGATACAACTATTGGATTTCGCCCTATCCCCCTCGAAGCGTAAGGTTACCCCTTCATTGCCTTCGAGTTCAAGTACTTTCGTGTAACAATCGACCCTAGCATGATGCTTCTCAAGCCAATCCATCCCCAGGATTGCATCGAACTCAATCATACTCAGCGGCACGAAATCACACGACAAGTTTTGGCCCTCCACTTCCACCTCACACGATGGATAGTGGCTATCTCTCTCGATGTCTTCCCCTAGGGGTGTGGATACCAATAGGGCTTGAGCCATCGGTACTAGGGGTGCGTCGAATCCCTCGGCGAATGCCTCACTCACAAATGATCGTTGCGCCCCGGTATCGATGAGGATTCTCGCACATCTCCCATTAATCTTTAGTGTTCCTACATTTATAAGCCATGTAAGATACCTCTCTAACATACCGACCAATCCTACGAAGAACATAATGCGAAATCATGTCCTTAAAGTGGGCAAAATCCCCCAATTATGGTTGACGTTCGCAGTTGAGATATAAATTGACACTGTCTCACCGTTTTGATCATATCTCTTCACATACTTAACCAAATCGTTCGATTCAAATTCCATCATTTAGACAATGAAAATATCTACAACTTTCATGAAGACAACGTTTTCATTTGACGAACACTTCGAGGTGTACCCGGTCGGGTAACATACTATACCCGATCGGGTATAAGTTCCAGTGGGTTCGGGCAGAATTTTTTTTGACAAACCCGGTCGGGTTTACCACCATACCCGGTCGGGTATGTGTTCCAGAAAGTGTCGGGGAGAAATTTTTGACAAACCCGGTCGGGTATGTGTTCCAGAAAGTGTCGGGGAGAAATTTTTGACAAACCCGGTCGGGTATACCACCATACCCGGTCGGGTATGTGTTCCAGAAGGTATCGGGCAGAAATTTTTGACAAACCCGGTCGGGTATACCACCATACCCGGTCGGGTATGTGTTCTAGTGGACTTATGAGTGCAAAAACTTGGCCTACCCGGTCGGGTTCATTACCAAACCCGATCAGGTATGCGATCCAGAAGGTTTACGAGGGCAAAAACTCGTCCCACCCGGTAGGGTTTATTGCCCTACCCGGTCGGGTAGTAGCATGGTTTTGCTCTTCTTTCCCATTTCGGTCTTACGTCTGCTCCCACCTGGATTCTAGGATTTATAACTTCAATTTATGGATGAAGAATGTGTAAAGCAAGAGGAGCTAAGCGGTCATACCTGCAACCGAATCTGGGTTAGCCCGGGCATCCGCCTCCATCATCGCATAGACTCTAGCTTGAGTCCTTTCTTGATTCACCGATGGCGCGTTGCTCGCGCTTGCTCCTCCATGCCCCCTAGTTGATTGGGAACCCCGGGCTTGGTTTCTCGTCCCCGTGGCCCCGCTACTTGGTCCCGATGACCTTGCCCCGCCCAATTGTGGGCAATGCGCCTTCAAATGCCCGGTATTCCCGCATTGGAAGCATCTAGGAGGTTCACGGCATTTTCCGAGGTGACTCTTCTTGCAATTCAAGCAACGAGGCGTCCCCGAGGCTTGTGACCCCGAGTCATGCCTGCTCGAGCCCTGGTTCCCCCTAGATGGTGGCGGAGGTGCACGGAAAGATCCCCCTCCATGGTTCCCCTTTTTGTTGGAACCTTGGGAGCCGTGACTCCCACTTCCTCTTCTTCGCCTCCTCGGCGTTCCTTCGTTTTCTTTCCTCCCACTCCTTCTCTCCCTTCAGGCCTTGTTCAACCACTTGACTAAACGTCATATTAGGCAATTGTGTTGCCCTCTCGCGTATGTCAAGGTCCAAGGCATCCCAGAAGTGATTCACCATCCGGTTCTCATCACATATGTACTCCGGTATGAATTCCGCGAGTTCCCTGAATTTGTGTTCAAGTTGCCTCACCGTCATCGTGCCACCTTGGGTCAGGAGGGTATACTCTCTCCTCTTATTGTTCACCTCAAAATCAGAATAGTATTGGGCAAAGAACTCCTGTCGGAACTCCTCCCAAGTCACGGTATTGCCATACTTTCCCTTGGCTCCGTCCCACCATGTGGATGCCATCCCTTCAAGCAACCTCACCGCCACCCTTAGTTTAAATTCGGGGGTGAGTTGCATATCAAGGGCTGCTTCGTTCAACCTCTTGATCCATTCAGCGGCAACCGAGATGTCACCCGCTCCGTTGAAGGGTTTGCACCCCAAGTCTCGTGCCTCTTTGAGGTATTTGGAGATCCTTATGATCGGACCTCCATCACCCCGGCCCCCATGTGGTTCAATGTGGGCCCTAGAGTCTCCATGGCTTCTTCCTCTTGAAGCCCCACCCGAAGTTCGCCCTCCTCGGCGCCTTCGGCGTTCCCTCCTTTCCTCGCGCTCCCGCTGATATTGTTGGAGTAGCGCCTCAATTCTTGCTAGGGAGTCATTCTCCCCTTCTTCATCACTCACATCATCGTCATCCCCTTCGTAAGGGGTCTCAACCGGCTCGGTTTCCGGTTGGTAAGTCGAGTCCTCATAGGACCAGTAGGTTTCACTTTCTGTGTCGACATGACCGTCACTCACGGTCTGTGATCGGCCTCCACGGCCAGCTCCTCTAGATGCCCTAGAGGTCCTTCGACTGCCCTGTCCAGTCTCCACTGGTACACGGCCCGTTGGGTTTCTCCTAGTAATCCTGCCACCACGGTCCATTTCTGAAAGAAATTTGGAAAGAGTCGTTAGACTCGTATCAAATGTCAATTGACGGATGGGTACTTAAGACACATTTTGGCTCGAGTCACCGCCATACCAATTGCTAAGGGTACCATCTTAACAATTAGAGACCTTGCAACCCAAGTACCAAAAGCTCTCCAAGTACAAAACTTCTATGCTCATGGTTTTCAAAATCTTTTCAAAAAGAGAATTTTGAGACTTCATTATGAAGTTTATGGACTAAGGCTCTGATACCAACTTAATTGTCACGCCCCGGACCTATCCGGACACGTCAACAACCCGCCGTACAATATGAATAGTCAACCGCAGTCCAACACATTCATAATATACAAGGCGTCTTGAATATCATTCACACATACACATCCATAAACAAACATAATAAGTAATTCGTAACGCAGCGGAAAACATTGTTTAAAACGAAAGGGCCACACAAGGCTATTCATGAGCACGCAGGCTCTACAGTAAAATATCCATGAGCATGTTTATTAATGTTTAAAAACAGAATGGAGGAAGCACGAACCAAGTCTTCCCTCCTATATGATCTCTCGAGCAACGAGCACAGGAAGCAAGCTCTAGCCTCAACCTGAAAAATGGTGGTGGGACGCCCCCGAAGGGGTCAGCACTCTATAGGGCTATAAAGTGCTGGTGTGGCAGGCATCTAATAGATATACAACAAGTATTTCACACACAAGACCCTCAAATAGGGTGATAATATAGTATAGGCCGTAATCCCAGATTACCCCTTTCAAAATACATACTTACTTTATATAAAGTCAAGTAATCGGCTCAAAGGCCCGTGTTTGTTATAAAACATTTCCCAAACCCCGTGACTAATAGTCACGACAATACATAGGGTCCAACCCTAATATAACTTCTCATTTCTAGAGTTAGGCTCGAGTACATCATCATGCACTCGCATCATAGATCTCCTACTTCATATAATCATACCATAGATCTCCTACTTCATGTATTCACCCCATAGATCTCCTACTTCATAAAATCACACCATAGATCTCCTACTTCATACAATCACACCATAGATCTCCTACTCCATGATATCACACTTGACACTTGAATCTCATTCAAGTTCATCACAAACAACTCAAACCTTAAGTTTGATTCTATCAACATTTAGAACAATCCTTAACTAGCATGACAATACTATTAAGATTATTCCTACAACTCATTTATTCTTAATGGTAGCCCCTCCATATCAATAGATATGTGGCAGCCTCCCATGTGCTAAGCATCATCATGTAACTATACATTTACATACACATAACATTCATACATGAGTTGGAAAGGTCATTTTACCATATTAACATACCTTTATCTCACATAACTCCATATTCATCAATATGGTTTCAATTCATGATCAAGTCCATTACTTATCATTCATATCATGTTCAAGCATATTTATTCACAAAAACATGGTTTAAGCATTTAGGTAATCTCATGCATAACCTACAAGTTGTAAGCAACTAGATGTCGGTCCTCACCTCAAATGAGCTTTAAAACCTTCCTTCTCGATCCAATGACCAAAGCCTCGGCCAAGGAAGATTGAGAACTGGTTCCTTGCTTGAAAATGGGTGTTAAACAGCTTCCTCAAGTTGCTATTTCAACCCCTAATCGTTGATACGAAAACAGCCCCTAGAACGGGTGTTTTCCGGCTAACTCGATTCCTAGTTTTCCAATATTTGCTTTAGGTTAGTATCTAACCTTTACATCAATAAAATAACTTTTCAAGGACATATTATACACTTGGATTAGTGTACAATAGTCCCACCAATCGTTCATATCATTTGGAAAATGAATGGAAAGGATTTGGGGTTAACAACTCACTTTAGAAGAGTAAATCCGTTTCTGCGAGGTTGTGTTTTGCTCGGACGATTTGGAAGCCTTGCTCTACTCCGATTGATTCAAACCAGACCTTCACGGATTCCTCGTCTTGAGAGCTTTCGTTTGGTATCTCACACGCCTTAATTGGATTGGTAAAACTCGAGATATCAACCAAACAGTCTCAGCACTCTCACAGCTCGAATTCACAGACCACTGCTCGCTTCAGATCGATTTTTGGATGATTACTCACTCCTCTCGAACAGAGACCACTCAATCATGAAAATAGACTTCAAAGGCTATCCAAGGACACCTTATACACCTCATTTGGACGAGTACAACTCTTAATGAAGGGAGACAAAACAGCACACCTGTTTGTGCGAAAACAGTGGTGGTGGCCCCAAAATTTGATTCCAATTGTGTCATGGGCAGTGCTTCTCCATGTGGTGCGGCCAAGGTGAGTCTTCTCACATATTTTCCTTGTCTTGCAGGTACTAATATCATGTGGAGTGGTTCCCAATTGATCCCATTAAATTTGGCGTCCAAAATATCTACCAATACTTCCAAAAATGGGAAGATGGGTCCTATTGTTTTATCTTTGTCAAAATGTCTTTTTGTACTCATCCTAATTTACTTAGAACAAGTCAACTTCCTAAATCACATTATTGATCTCCAATATGTGTAGGCTCGTCCCAATAATTTACTTGATGAATATTATAGAAGGAAAATCCTACTCCCATTATTTAGCTCAATAAGGCCCAAGGTGGGGTTATAGGCATTTGTATTCTTCCTTAATCATTCAATCACTTATTTGACATTTGTCATACGTATTATTGGGCTCTTTTATTTATTAATAAGTCCCGAATAAGTATTTGCGAAACCCGACACTAGTGTACGAGTTTGAACAGTACGATATTCAACCATGCACTACGTAGAACATTAATCGTTTTACAGATTGTTCGGGAATAAAAATCCAATACATAAACTTTGAATATCTAAATCAAATCTCCAAGGACATTCGGGTGCGGTGTCACATGCATGCAGTAACCATCTAACTCTTTTAATTTGTTTATTTACTTTTGGGCTGGACTTCTGATAATGAGATGATAATAATTACGGAGTAGTAATTATAATGATAGGGATAAAAGTAATAAGGATAATAAAAATAACTGAGAAGGAGAATCTTAATAAGGAATATATTGGTAATATTCACGTTTTCTAAAATTTTCATTATTTAATTTGGATAATTATATAATAATGTAAAATAAGATGAATTGAATTAAATTAACGGGCTGGTAAGTGACCAGAACAATAAATTGACTAATTGATACAACCGGGCTGATTACTAATATTCAATATGGATTATTTGAACTGCCTTAATAACCAGATTAACTAAAGCTACAATAACTAATAACAAAGGTTTGGTTAAAGAAGTATAGGGAGTTATTATTTGTGAATAAAATTAATAGTACTGGATTAAAGGGAATTAACAAACGTTATTAAGTCTTAATATCGTACATTTATTTCTAAGTAGAAGTTGAGGTAAAGTAGTAAAATCATAAAAGACTAGTTATATGTACTTTAACGGGTCATGTAAATGAATAATTATAAATGAATTAATTATAGTGGAATAGACTAAAATAAAGTGGATCTATTAAATTATTAGTCAAGACTAATAAAGATGGAATAAATTAACAAATGGTGTTAAGTAAATTAAAGTTATATATAGAAACTGGGTAAATTGGAAGACTCGTAAATTGGATAAGTTAATAAGAGGGAAATCGGGACGATAATTAAGTATAGAATAAACGACTAATTATATCATCTTAATTAAAAAGGTGATTTCTAGGGACCGGAATAGAGTAAGAGAAATAGGAGCATTGGAATCGAGGTAAGTTTCTCTGCCGATCCAAAATTGTTTCCTCGTATTATATGCTTATTATGCATTATGTGATTAAGTGTGAATTTTGAATTATGTGTATGTGATTTTGAGAAGATATTAGATCTATGGTGTTTGAGAAGTGCAAACGAAATACTTTTGGGTATTAAATATTTTTAAATACCTTTGAGACTATTTAGAGAGATTGAGAAATATTTTTGGAAGTATATCTAAAGTCAAGATAAAATTTACGTTTTCATAAGAAGTGAGCACCCGGGAGAAATCCGTGGTGTCGGTTTTCCACATCCGGATAAATGTGGAGGGTGATTAAGACTGCTACTACTAAGAAGTACAGTTTGAGTTTGAAGTGACATTTGGATCTATGATTCCTTTTAAGAAGAAGTTATAGTAGTAGTAGTTCCTAATCATTCAAAAAATTTAAAGGTGGGATAGTTGGTAGACTGAGTCCCGATTACTCGTGACGACTTACTACTCGGAGGGCTTGGAATCCCTTTTAGGGGGTGTGCACACTTAAGGTAGTCGTTTCGTTTCCATTAGCAGTTGTGGTACCGGCAAAAGTCCCGGGGTGGCCGTACATAACAACGTAACCACCGGGCTCAACCAGTGTTGAGCACCGCCCTTCTAAATTACTAGGAAGATAGAGAAGAAGTGAACTTTGAGAAATTCTAAGAGAAGAGTTACTATGGTATTTTCAAAGAAAAGTTGAGGACTTTATTAAAGAAGTGATTTTGAGAAATATAAAAGAGAAAAGAATTTTGGTGGAGTGTGTCATTTTTATATAGTATTATATGAAAAACTATTTTTCGCCAAACCTGATTATTTTACGGGGTTGGGTAGTACTTACTTAGCTCTAAAGCTAATTTTTGTTTTCTTTCCTTTGTTTTGTTTTCTGCACTTTATTTGTGCAGGTGATGATGCTTATGTTGACTGATGATTGCTTGATTCCCGAGAGCGGTTTAGAGATGCCTTAGTCAAACCTAGTCAAGAATTATAATTTAATTATGTTGAACACTTGTTTTACTTTGTTTAGTTTTGTGATTGCCTGTGCATTCGGTTAAGAGATGACCGGATGTGGCGGTAACACCCATTTCCCAATTAGTGTTATTTCCGCTGCAAAACTTTTTATCTGTTTTGAAAGAATAAATCAAGTTTATTATCAATAAATCTATTATTTCAAGTATTATTTTGGGAGGGAAAATGGGGGTGTTACACTTATAACTTTTGCGTGAGGCATGAGATTACCTAAATTAATCAATAATATATTTTATGAATTGATTAAATGCATTCAAGTATGTGTTATGACATATTAAAGTATGTGACCTAGTTAAAAGCATGTTAATGATGTTTGATTAGTGAAAATATGATAATTAATATGTATGATGTTCCAAGGGCCCAAAAAGGTATTTTTGGATTAAGGACATCAAGAAGTACATGTATGTAAAATTTCACGACAATGGGACTTCGTTTGAACGGTTAAACAGGCGTTGACCGCCAAGTCAAAGGTTATACCCAACCGGGTATGGGTAAATAACCGACCGGGTATTAGCTAAAAACAGCCCCAGTGGCTACTGCCTCACCATACCCGACCAGGTATTATCTAAAACAGCTCCAGGGGTGTGACACTCCGAAAATTTAAATAAATAAAAAATCGTCAGTTGGATAAAATGTTATGAAAGTGACATTTTAATAATTAAGTGAATCAGATAAAATTTTAACACCAGTGACAACTTTAATCAGATAAAAATGTTTCATTAATAAGAGTGACATTTTAAATAATATGTGTACACAAATACTTTAAAATAATACGAATCAATATTTAAAAGGGTTGTACTTTCGAAATTTAATGCATACATACCTATTGGCCATACCCATAACTATATCATACTCTGTACATATCAATAATATGATATGCTATGTATCTATTCATAACCTTATCAATTATCATACGAGTACATAACAATAATGCATCTGGGGACTGCTGGCCATATTCATGCATGCTATCCAAAATGAGCGACCAAAGCACATGCCCAAGACCTTCGGCGATGGTAGATATGTCTTGCGACTTGCGAGCTACTACTACACACCAAACGAGCTACGTGTATTTTTCTACGCCAAGAAGCAACCAGTGAATTGCATAGCGATACATATACATATACACTTGTATATATACGAACATTTCAACCCCGCAACATGCCCAGAACCCAAAGGTAAAAAGTCTAAAATCTACTTTAAAGCTTCAAGAAAGTAAGACGAATAAAGTGATAAAGAGAGGAACGGTCGTCAGAAGAAGGAGAAGAGCCGCTGGGAGGACACGACAGGGAATTGGACTTCGGGTGTTGACGTCCGGAAACGAGGACCGCCGGTGGAAGCTCCCAGACTGACGCTAGGCTGAAGAGGAGGCAAGAGCATTGCTGGAACTGCCGCTTCGCCGGATAAAGCTTCGCCGGAGTACTGCTGCTGGACTGAATTCACGCCGAAAGGGGAGGACGTGCACTGTCACCACAGTCGTTTCCGGAAGGGAGAACGCCTCTGTCTAAGACCACCGTCGTCGCTAAAAGAGTGGCCGCTACAACCTCGGCAGTCGGCACCAATAGCTCGGATTGGCGACACAGAGTACGTGCTACTCTGTTCTAATTCCTCTAGTTATTTTATTCGTTTGGGCTGGACAATAACAGAAATCGATGGTGAAAACTGGAGTAATTATAGTAACCAATTGATTTGTTTTTGAATGCTAAAATAAGTTATTGGATCAATAAGTTAATGGAGAAGGAGTAACAAAAAAGGAATCGGGCTGAAAATTTTCCTTCTCCACCTCATCTAAATCATCTTCCGTCCCCTGCACAGAACTAGCATCACTTGAGTCCTCCTCTCCACTAATCATAAGACAATCAAAACTAAGGAGGGGCTCAAGACCCTCTGCTGACACACTCTCATCCAACGAAAGATCAAATAATGTTTCATCAGAAAGCATGTTAGGGGTGCAATCCTCCACCATAGAATCTATGACATCCATATAAAAACACTCTCCACTATCCTGACAGGGTCTCTTCATTATTTTGGACATATCAAAGGTGGCAGTCTCATCCCTAACGCGGAGGATAAGCTTACCATCTCCAACATCAATAAGTGCTCGGGCAGTTGCCAAGAATGGTCTGCCCAAAATTATAGGTACCTCACAATCTTGATCCATGTCCAAAATAACGAAGTCTACAGGAATAATAAATTTGTCCACTTTAACCAACACGTCTTCAACAATCCCTTTAGGATATCTGACTGAATGAACAACCAACTGAATGCACATACGTGTTGATTTTAGTGGACCGAGTGCAAGCTTCTCATACAAAGCATATGGCATCAAATTAATGCTTGC